GGCTGGGCTAACGGCCACATATAGGTACAAAGTTTCTCCTTCAGCTGGGCTAGCCAGCGTTGGGAGTTGAGCCAGATGCTCCCGAAGCTGTTTTAAGGCGTCTTTTTGCTCTTCCTCCCAAACGAGCTCTTTTGTTTTCGGGAGTTTCAGGGCTTTGAAGAAAGGTAACCCCTTATCCGAAGCTCTGGAAATGAACCTCGAGAGGGCTGCCATTCTTCCGGTGAGCCGCTGAACATCCTGCTTCGTTTTCGGCTCAGGAAGGTCGAGCGCCGCTTTGACTTTAGAGGGATTGGCATCAATCCCCCTTTTGCTGACCATGAACCCAAGGAATTTCCCTGACTTCACGCCGAAGACACACTTCTTCGGATTCAGCTTCATTTGATGCTTTCTCAAGGTGGCGAAAGTTTCAGCCAGGTCCTTTACATGGTCCTCTAGTTTTTTGCTTTTGACGATCGAATCGTCAACATAGATTTGCATGTTTCGGCCCTTTTGATCGGCGAAAACTTGATCCACCAGCCTTTGATAGGTTGCCCCCGCATTTTTCAATCCGAAGGGCATCATTTTGTAATTGTACACCCCAGCGTTCGTGACGAATGCTGTCTTTGCTCGATCGTCGGGGTGCATAAAGATCTGATGATACCCCGAGAATGCGTCCATGAAACTAAGCAAGGCATGGCCACTTGTCGAATCGACTAGCTGATCGATCCTCGGCAAGGGATAGAAATCCTTTGGACAAGCCTTATTTAGGTCCGTGAAGTCAACGCACATCCTCCAGGTACCATTGGGCTTCTGAACCATCACCACATTTGCCAGCCATTCTGGATATTGGCAAGGTTCGATGAATCCTGCCTCCAATAATTTTTTGACCTCGGCTGCGATGTCTCGGTTCTTATTGGCTAAGTAATTCCGCTTCTTTTGCTTAACTGGTCGACACGTCGGGTCAACATTAAGCTTATGGGAGATGAGGTCTGAACTTATCCCGGGCATATCAGCTGCCGAGAAAGCAAACACATCTCTGTTGTCCCGAAGGAGCTGAATAAGTTCACAACGGGTGTTCGGATCAAGGTCCATCCCGATTGCTACACATTTCTCACCGTCTCCTTCGGCCAACTCAACTGTTTCAGTCTGTTGGTCCATGTCCATTGCCGATGGACTGGACTCTTCAGAATCTGGCCTGCTGCCAATGTCAGCAGGTGTCCCCGTCTTTTTGTTCTTCGGCTAGCTCTCTGAGTCTTGCGGCTCAGCTGAAGAGCTAGCCTTTTCCCTTTCGGGCCCTTTTTCTCTGGGCACAGATCCTTGGGCCGAAGCACTTAGGCCTTTTGGATTTTTTGTGCTTGGCTCTCTTTCTTTTTCTTTCTCCTCCTCATCCTTGTCGTCATCTCGGCGACTACTGGATGGCTTGAGGTAGTTGCACCTTCGGGCGTCCTTTTGGTTGCCCTGTATCCTTTCGGGGAAGCCGGCGTCTGAGACGTAAATCATCAGCTGATGATAAGTTGAGACGACCCCTTGGATCTCGTGAATTATGGGTCTCCCCAAAATCACGTTGTACACTGAAGGAGCGTCGATGACCAAAAATTCAATCATGACGTTCCGGGCTGCCTCATCGCAACCGATGGTGACAGGAAGTGCCACCTTCCCATCTGGATAAGTTGAAGCCCCATTGAACCCGGATACCGGGTAGGGTACCGGCGTAAGGTGCTTGGGCTTCAGCTTAATTTGATTGTAGGCCTTTCGGAACAGAATGTTTGCTCCACTGCCACCGTCAACAAGGACCTTACTGACGTCGTGGTTGGCCACCGTGGCGATGATCACCAACGGATCCTCGTGAGGGAACGTAATCCCCCGGCAGTCGGCGGCTGTGAACGTCATGTTCGGCACCGGCGACTGGGGAGATTGAATGTCAGCGTTGTTCACCTGGTGAGTCAAAGCTCTAAGGTGGCGCTTGTGCTCCCTCCGAGAGTATATTCCTCCCGAGATAACATTGATCGGAGGGAATTTCCCCTCCGGCTTTTTACTGTTTTTCCGGGGGAAGTCGAGGTCCTGCCGAGGGTCCTTTGCTGACCTCTCGGATTCTTTTTTCTCGCGGTGATCCGCGATGTATTTTTTCAAGTATCCCTTCCGGACCATGTCCTCTATCTGGTCCTTCAGTTGGATACACTCCTCAGTGTTGTGTCTCGAAGACTCGTGGAACTCGCACCACTGATTTTTATTTTTTCGCTGATACCACTCTGGGAGTGGTCTCGGCTTTCGGTAACTCTGCTCCTCCTTCGTCACGCTGTAAATTTTGGCGCGTGGAAGAGAGAGCGGAGTGTAGGACTCGTATCTGCCTGTGTATGAGGCAGATCTTTCCTTCTTTGGGTCGATGGCCAAAGATTGCTCCGGGGCCTTTGACTTTCCCTTTGCCTTATGGCCTTGGCCTTCAGACAAGGGTATTTGTCTCTGTTTCCCTCCCCCGAATTGAGGTTGGGTTTTCGCTTTGTTCCATTCTTCGGCTCGGATGAACTTATCCGAAGCATTAAGAGCTTCCTCCAAGGTCTGCGGGGTATGCATGACCATGAAGTCTAGGAACTTTCCGGGCTGAAGGCCATTCTGCATTGCGAAAACGGCTAGCCCCTGGTCCAGCTGGGAGACGCTTGATGACTCGTTACTGAAACGGGTCAGGTAGTCTCGGAGGCTTTCGGTTTCCCCCTGTTGCAGACTCATGAGCTCTGCGGTAGTCTTCTCTCGGCGGTTTGCCGTGGAAAACTTGCTCCTGAACTTGGAGGACAGATCATCCCACCCTGTTACGGAGCCTTGCCTTACTCCCTTGGAGATCCACGCTTGCGCGACCCCCTTGAGAGTGGTTGGGAAATATTTGCACCAAGTCGCCTCGGATCTGGGGCAAAGATGCATATGAGTCTCATACGAGGCCACATGATCCTTCGGATCCGTGGTCCCGTCATATGTGATGTGCGACGGTATTTTAACCGTGGGTACGCGCTCTTCCAGTATCCATTGCTCGAATGGTGAACTGGCGGGTAGCATAACGGCCTTGCCCTTGTTCCTGGCCGAAGGGACCGCGCTCCGCCCTCTTAGAGAGGTAGGAGTGGTTTTCGTCCCTGGCTGGGAAGTCTGGGCCTCGGCTGCAGGGAACGAGAGGCGACTGCGCACGCTCGGTTCCTTGCCGCCGAGTCGGTCAAGGACGCTTCTGCGAACAGTCTCAGGTTCTCGGTGAGTAGATTCTGGCCGAGAAGCCGAGCTGCTGCTCTTATGCGCTTCTGGTCTTGAGGATGAGGATCCTTTTAAAAATTGAGGGTTCTTTTTCCTCTGTTTTTCATTTTTCCAGGAATCCTCCTCCCACTCTTCCAGTTCCCGGAAGGAAGGAAGCTTCCCACCATCATGGTCTAACTTCCTCCGCTGATGCCGGGTATGCGGAGGAGTTCGATCACGAGGTGGTGGCATATTTTGTGCCCTCATCGCCTCCATGAGTACTGCCAGCGCTCTTGCCACCTCTTCCGAGCTGGGCCCCGTCAAAGGGGTCCTCGGCCGAGTGTGGGAATGAGGGCGCGCAGCCGATGGTTGGCTTTGGGACACTGAATGTGTCCTATGATCGGACTCACCCCTGCTAGACCGAGAGTGACCCGGCCTATAATGAGAGTCATGAATTACGGGAGATAGGGAATCCTCCTTGTATGATCCTCCCCCCGAGCCGGCACCCTTGGGAGAGTTCCGGTCCGGCGAGGGTGATGGTGTAGGGGTTTTAGGCTTTTCGCCCGCTCCTTGACGGAGGCTTTTGCTCTTGCGGTTCTTAGCCATTGCTGCTAAGATAATTGCAAGATGATCTTGGTTAGGAATTTGGCTTAAAGATTTTTGAAAGTCTTCCCCACAGACGGCGCCAAATTATTTCGGGTGAAAACAATGGGACCTTGCCGAAGGTCCGCTGAAATGGAGAAGGCTGGATTCGGTCCAAGTTATGTTGGGCCGAAGGTTTCCTGCACAGTAAACACACGTAAACTAGCCTCGGGGGTGTTGCCGAGGAAGGCCCCTCCGATGCTAAAGTCAGTACAATGTGTAAGAAGAGGACACTATGCAAGAGAGTTTGTTGCTTGAGGCTTTTATGGAATATCTCAGAATATATGAATGAACATATGAATCTATATATGAATAATCTATGAATGTATCAATATTGATGGCTTTTATACCTCATCATACATGGAGAGGTTGGGCCTTAGCCCAATTGGCTTGCTTTGTGGGCTGACCTTTGACTTTAGCACAATTGGAGAGTTGAACCTTGACCTTGGGCTTTTAATTGGATCATTTAGTGCTTAGGCCCAATTGGACTAAATTGGACCCAAACATATATTATAGTAATTTTTGTAATAAACAAAGCTTAGAATACTCAACTTTGTATGTCTTACATAATAAGAGATGGTTTCCTAACATTTAAAGTCAAAAAATTATATGGGAGTAGACGTTTTACTTTATCCGAATTGAAACCTCTCACAGGTCAACCCGATCCAATTAGTGTTCGAGGCTCCTTGTGAGTGAAAGTGGGGTTAGGGGAAAGGGCCGGCAAGGGAATCCTAGTCCCTAGATTACAGGACTAATCCCGTCACCTTATAATTGTGAGATAACAATTCTTACCACCTAACCAAGTATTATTTTGGTGAGGGTTTCCGAGTTTATTGGTTGATTAATTAAACACTCACATTAATTTCAAGGTGGTAATACATACATATACTTAGTATCTGCCATCTTTTGACGTTATTGCTACTCTACTACTCTACTAGTGTCATTACTGTCATGGACTCATAGTGGGTGCAGTGCATTATTTGACTCTTGTTTAATTAAAATAATATTTTATTGGACTTCCTAATTACCAATTTCCAATAACTAATACTTCGTATATTAGAATAACGGTAGATGCTACAATACAAGGTCCAACAATCTAAAATATTGATTTATCAATCATATTTGACCTCTAATCTTATCAAAAATATTTATATAATTAAGGAGTAAATGATATGTAGGACAGACGAATGATTTTGAAAATTCAATATATAGCTAAAATTAGAAATGTTGACTGTCTTACAAAATAAAAAGTACAGAGTAACTTTTATACATTTAGGGGTTATTTTCTTGCCTTTAGGCTTATACATCAACAAGCTAATTAATTATCATCAAAAGTAATAATACAGCAAAATTAAATCAACAAAATTAAGGATGATTTTCGTGGTGATGACCAATTTTAGCAGCAGCAACATAATAACGCTTAATAAGCGCCAAAGCATTACTAGTCAACTGACTTAGCTTAACAACTTTACGTTGAACTATTAACTTAACATTTCCATTCGTACCACTCCCATCAAAAGCATCCCTACATGTTCCGGCATATGTTAAGGCAGTGCTTGTCCATGTTTCGACGTCGCTCGCCTCCATCTCCGTCTCCGTCCAAGCCGGAGCCCCGCCCATCTTCTCGATTGACCGTGCAAGTTGGGCGGCGGAGGTCCCCACTGCCATGGTGCAGTCTGATAAGGCTGCCTTCTCCATCGGCTTAAGTGCACCGGTCTTAGATAGCCGGGCTGTGGTCTGAGCCGCGGACTTGGCCTCTATGAGGGCTATAACGAGGGCCTTGGTAGCGAGTCGTTTCGGGTTGTTTTGGATTTGTGATGCGTGTGGGAGAAGGGTGGAGTAGCAAAGCGTAGGGTATGTGGTGGTGGAGCAGCACTTTTTGATGAAGTTTGTACTACTCGTGCTCGTGCTCGGTTTAGTGGATGCTGATGAAGGGTTAAAGGATAGAAATATGAGGAAGAGGAAAATGAGTGGACTAGTAAGTTTTTGTGGAACTGAAGACCTCATGTTTGATAGCTTAAGTGCTTAACTAATAGAAGAAGATAGGACTTATTGAGTTGAATTGCTAAGTTTGTGCTTTCTATAACAAGAGTGAGTGGATTGTTTAAGGGAGGGGTTTGTTTCCCTATTTATAGTCCATTTGCACGTTGCATTTCACATAAACAAGTGATAGTCTGCTAGCTGGCTTAGTTGCCATTCCTAAAATATTTAGGGCATATCCAATGGGTAGGTACAACGATTTGTAGTAATTTGACTCAGCTCATAATATACACTTCAGCTTATATTATTATTTAGATACTTCATTTATTTTCTTTTTCTATGTATAAATCACTAACTATCATAAAATATAAAAGTAGGGATAACAAAAATATCCAAACGTTACTATGGTGAACAAGCTACAATGAAAGAGTAGCATGTTAATCAATATAATCAATATATAGTCTGAAATCCAAATTTTCTCAAAAAGCGTGGATATTAGCCTTCAATTTAAGAATTTTTTGACATTTTTTTATTCGGAAATAAAAATTGCCGAAATGTTTACCGTGGTCCCTAATACCCTCCAGGAGTCCAATTGGCTGGGTGGAACCATCCAATTTGCCTTTAAACGACCAATTTACCGGTTCATAACTTGCACCGATTTCATTAACAACTCAAGCTTACCATTAACATTTATGACAACATATAATGATCATATATGGATCCAAACGACATTATATGATCCCGAGATGTATCCCCTAAAATCTCAATGCTTTTCGACACCGGGCACCGAAACATTCGAAATTTCTCAAAAAGCATGAACAATTCAATTTTGGAATTTTTTGACTTTTTTTCGCCCATATATAAAAATTGCCGAAGTTTTTACCATGATCCCAAATAAACGTTGGGAGACCAATTGGGTGGGTGGAACCATCCGATTTGTATTTAAAAGGCCAATTTACCGGTTTACAATTTGCACCAATTTAATTAACTCAAGCCTACTACGAACATTTATGACAAAATATAATGATCATATATGGTTCCAAACGACATTATATGACCCCGAGATATATCTCCTAAAATCTCAAAACTTTTCGACACCGGGCCTCGAAACAACCCAAATTTCTCAAAAAGCATTGAATTCAATTTTGGAATTTTTATTACTTTTTTTCGCCCAGAAATAAAAATTGCCGAAATATTTACCATGGTCTCTAATACCCGCCAAGAGTCCAATTGGGTAGGTGGAACCATCCAATTTGCCTTTAAACGACCAATTTACCGGTTTACAAATTGCACAATTTCATTAACTCAAACCTACAACGAACATTTATAACAACAAATAATGATCATATATGGTTCCAAACGACATTATATGACCCCGAAATATATCTCCTAAAACTTCAAGACATTTCGACACCGGGCCCCGAAACCTCCCAAATTTCTCAAAAAGTGTGGATATTAGCCTTCAATTTAGGATTTTTTTGACTTTTTTTTGCCCGGAAATAAAAATTGATGAAATGTTTACCATGGTCCCTAATATCCTGTAGGAGTCCAATTGGTTGGGTGGAACCATCTAATTTGCCTTTAAACGGCCAATTTATCGATTTACAACTTGAACAGATTTCATTAATTCAAGCCTAACACGAACATTTATGACAACATATAATGATCATATATGGTTCCAAACGGAATTTTATGACTCCGAGATGTATCCCCTAAAATCTCAAGCCTTTTCAACACTGAGCCCCAAAACCTCTAAAATTTGTCAAAAAGTGTAGATATCAGCCTTCAATTTTGGAATTTTTTTAACTTTTTTTTCCGCCCGGAAATAATTTCCGAAATTTTTACCATGGTCCCTAGCTAATACCCTCTGGTATCCAGTTGGGTGAGAGAAACCACCAATTTGTCTCTAAAAGGCCAATTTATCGGTTTACAACTTGCACCGATTTCATTAACTCAAGCCTACCACGAACATTTATGACAACAAATAATGATCATAAACGGTTCCAATCGACATTATATGACCCCGAGATATATTTCCTAAAATATAGAATATTTTCGACACTGGGTCCCAAACCTCCAAAGTTTCTCAAAAAGCGTGGATAATTAGTCTTCAACTTTGGAATTTTTGGACTTTTTTTTTCGCCCGTAAATAAAAATTGCCGAAATATTTACCATGGTCCCTAATACAATCCAAGAGTCCAATTAGGTGGGAATAATCATCCAATTTTCCTTTACAATGGCGAATTTACCGGTTTACAACTTGCACCGATTTCATTAACTCAAGCCTACCATGAACATTTTTGACAACGTATAATAATCATTTATGGTTTAAAACAGTATTATATGACCCCAAGATGTATCCCCTAAAATCTCAAAACTTTTCGAAATCGGGCCCTGAAACATCAAAAATTTCTCAAAAAGCGTGGATATATTAGCCTTCAATTTTGGAATTTTTTGACTTTTTTCGCCCGAAAATAAAAATTGCCGAAATTTTTACCACAGTTCCTAATACCTTCCGGTAGTTCAATTAGGTGGGTGGAACCATCCAATTTGCATTTAAACGGCCAATTTACCGGTTTACAACTTGTCATTACTTCATTAACTCAAGCCTACCACGAACATTTATGACAACATATAATGGTCATTTATGGTTTCAAACGTCATTATATGACACCGAGATGTATCTAATTAAATCTCGTTTTATTTTTAACTTCTGGCCCCGAAACCTTTGAAATTTCTCAAAAAGCATGGATATTACGTACCCTTCAATTTAGGAATTTTTTGACTTTTTTTCGCCTAAAAATAAAATTTGCCAAAATGTTTATCATGGTCCCTAATACCCTCTGGGGTCCAATTGGATAAGTGGAACCATTCACTTTAAACGACCAATTTACCGGTTTACAGCGTGCACCGATTTCATTAACTCAAGTTTACAACGAACATTTATGACAATAAATAATGATCACATATGGACATATGGTTCCAAACGATATTATATGACCCCGAGATGTATTCCCTAAAATTTCAAGACTTTTTTACACCGGACCCTGAAGACTCCAAAATTTCTCAAAAATCATGGATATTAGCCTTCCATTTTGGAATTTTTAGACTTTTTTCGCCCGAAAATAAAAATTGACGAAATGTTTACCAAGATCCCTAATACCCTCCGAGAGTACAATTGGGTGGGTGGAACCATCCAATTTGCCTTTAAACGGCCAATTTACCGGTTTACAACTTGCACCCATTTCATTTACTCAAGCCTGCCACGTACATTTATGACAATATATAATTATCATATATAGTTCCAAACATCATTATATGACCCCGAGATGTAATCCTAAAATTTCAAGGTTTTTCAAAAGCGGGCGTCAAAATCTCCAAAATTTCTCAACAAGCATGGATCTTAGATTTTAATTTTGGAATTTTTATTTTCTAACACGGAAATAAATAAAAATTGCCGAAATGTTTACCATGGTCTCTAAGATCCATTCAACAAGCATGAATCTTAGATTTTAATTTTGGAATTTTTATTTTCTAACCCGGAAATAAAAATTGCCGAAATGTTTACCATGGTCTCTAATACCCTTCAGGAGGCCAATTGAACAGGCTGAACCATACAATTTGCCTTTAAACGACCAATTTACCGGTTTACAACTTGCACCGATTTCATTAATTCAAGCCTACCACGAACATTTGTGACAACATATAATGATCATATACGGTTCCAAACGACATTATATGACCCCAAGATGTATCCCCTAATTCTTAAGGCTAGCCTTTTGACACCGAGCCTTGAAACCTCCAAAATTACTCAAAAAGCGTGGATATTAAACTTCTATTTTGGAATTTTATGACTTATTTTCGCCTGAAAATAAAAATATTTCGAAATTTTTACCATGGTCCTTAATATCTTCCGGGCGTCGAATTGGGTGGGAGGAACTATCCAATTTGCCTTTAAACGACCAATTTACCGTTTACAACTTGCATTGATTTCATTAGCTCAAGCCTACTAAGAACATTTATGACAACATATAATGATCATATATGGTTCCAAATGGCATTATATGACCTCGAGATGTTTTTTTCTTAGAATTTCAATACTTTTCGACACCGGGCCTCGAAACCTCCAAAATTTTGCAAAATACGTGGATATTAGAACTTAATTTTGGAATTTTTTGACTTTTATTCGCCTGGAAATAAAAATTTCCATAATGTTTACAATGGTCCCTGATACTCTTCGGGAGACACTTTGCTGGGTGGAACCATCCAATTTGCCTTTAAACGGCCGATTTACCGGTTTACAACTTGCACCGATTTCATTAACTCAAGCCTACCACTTACATTTATGACACACAAATAATGATCATATATGGTTCCAAATGACATTATATAACACCGAAATATATTCCCTAAAATTTCAAGACTTTTCAACATCGGGCCCCGATACCTTCAAAATTTCTCAAAAAGTGTGGATATGAATTCAATTTTGAAATTTTTTAACTTTTTTTTTTCCCAGGAATAAAAATTGCCGACATGTTTACCATGATCAGTAATATGCTCCGGAAGTCCAATTGGGTGGGTGGAACCATCCAATTTGCCTTTAAACGGTCAATTTACCAATTTACAACTTGCACCGATTTCACTAAATCAAGCCTACCACGAACTAGGGCTGTTCAATTTCGGATATCCGATCCGATCCGAAAATTCGGATATCCGAAATTTTCGGATCGGAGAAATTGCAATCCGAATTCGATCCGAAATTTTCAGATCGGATATCCGGATTTTCGGATCGAATAGTCGGATATTCGAATCGGATAGTCGGGTTTTCGGATCGGGTAGTTAAAATTTTCGGGTAAAATACGATCCGTATCCGATCCGAAAATTCGAAATGTTTTTCGGATATCCGATCCGAAATATCCGAAACCTTAAAAACCGGATCGGATATCCGAAATTTCGGATCGGATCATCGGATTTTCGAATCGGCTATTTCGGACTGGATATTTTTAAACACCCCTAACACGAAAATTTATGATAACATATAATAATCATATATGGTTCAAGACGACATTATATGACCCCGAGATATATTCCCTAAAATCTCAAGATTTATCGACAC